TACACGCATGCAAACAACTGACACGCGTGCAAGCCAGCTGGCGCTGCAGCCGAAACCAGACCACTTTACATTAACAAACACATGCAAGGTTATTTTCTCTACGTCCGTGCCTGTGTGCGTCTGGTCGCTGGGTATGAAGCTGACATGACACTCTGCAGTTCTGTGTCGTCCCATACTTAATTTAGTTGACCATCAACCAGCGTTGGCGACAGACGCGAGCGATTCCAAACAACCGATCAGCCAAGCGACCAAAATTGAAGAAATCTATTCGACAAACTGAAACCAAACCGACTGAACAATTTACAGTCCGCCGGGCCGTCGTTCATTTAGTCGATTGATAAGCCAATAAGCCGGTTAGTTAGTCGCGCGCACGCAGGCGTCGGCATACACCTCCGCAAATTCATATGCGGTCACATTACTCGCGCATATCTGCTATACATATAGAAAAACGTGCGGAGATTTGCAGTTCAGCGGATACCTCAACAATTATCTACTTAGTATGTTTGTGCGTGCATTTCCATCTAATCCATCATACAGATACAAAGTGCAAATGTGTGTGTGTTTGCATGGGATTGCTTTTGAAAAATCGGTTTGTTGAAGTGTTGGTTCGAATAATTACAGATGTTGATATTTGAAAGATACTTTGCTGTGCAACTAACGGTATCACATCATACCTCTAACGATAGTATTCCGAGATTACTCTCAATCGGGTACAATTGGGCATTAATTAGCAGCAACTAGTCGCATATGGGTACTGTTGGAGATCAATTAGTCCCCGACTAATCTCAAACTGGTACTATTAACAATTTAATTATATGTACGCACTTTATGAAATTTCATGTGCGGCGTTGCCACAGAGAAGAGTATTCGCTTAAAAAACCTGAGCACCCTGGTCCGAATCGCAGCTGGCGAAAATTTTTATTTTTATTTTTTAAAAGTAACTAGTTTCTTTTTATACCCATTCGGGTCTCTTCATAGGACATGCTCGAACGAAAGCGAACAGTTCATTCCATATCAAGAGATCAAAAGTGACATTAGTCGCATGCTCCTTTGCGATTGCTCCCGGAGTCATCCCGGATTATTCGCCTTTTTTGCAGGGTACCTACCTACACTCCTACACATAAAAAAACATATCTACATATGTGCATCAAGCCATACATATGTACATTAGGATGGTCCAAAAATGCCCAAGAAAAAGTAAGTCGGAATTTTAATGCTCTCGCCCCCTATGATTGTTCTATATCGAAAAAACGTACCCATGTTTTTTTTCGAAACTAAAAAGTAGGTAGAGGTCGCTCAAAGCGCTCAAAGTTTTCCATGTACTTTATATGGGGAAAAACAAGTTTTTTGTGGGAATGGTGTATAACTTTTGACAATCAATATTTTTCTCTCTAGTTTCAATAGTTTCTCTTTAGAAGACTTCAGGCAATACTACCCAATTGTTTATGTTACCATTTTTTAATACTAACGATTTTTATGGGTGCCTCTATTGCATTTTTTTGTGGTTTTGGGGGACCTATAAAAAATAGTTAATATTAAAAAATGGTTAAATGAACAATTAGCTATTATTAGTAGAAGTATCTCAAAGCGAAACAGAGTTTTCCGATCGAAAAATATTGATCTTAAAGAAATCTAGACCGTTATTGCGAAAAACTGCTTTGTTCCCATATAAAATACATGGAAAAGTTTGAGCGCTTTGAGCGACCACTTAATGTTTTTTGATTTCGAAATAAAAAACCGGAGGTATTTTTTCAGTATGGAACAGTCCTAGGGGCATTAAAAGAAAGTATTAAAATTCTGACTTTACTTTTTGGACCACCCTAGTGTATATACATACATATGCGACCCTGTACTTACCCTGAAAAAAATGGGACTAGGTTAACTACTAGTAAAGGACCACGCTAGCTTGTAATATATTAACATTGTCATATCATTGGATCTGACCACTTCTGGTCCACCACTGCATAAACTGGGACGGCCTAGACAACTACTCCATATTGGCACATTCGGCAACCGAATCATATTGCCGATGGGCCAAGAAGGGATAGCGTTCAACACATACATATATCAGTTTTTTACGTTTGAAGTGGTCCAGGTCAGCATAACAAGTTACTAGTATGCAACCTGGTCCTTTCGCACATACTTTAAAACTACGACCCAGTAGACCACCTGGTCCTCAAGTTTTTGCAGGGTATTAAACCGGTACAATCTCAGCTGGGGCGCGCTCGCCCACCATAGTGATATTGTTCTATCAAGTACATATGTATGTACATACGACTATATTCATAAACATAGATAAATAGTACTCCGTTGTACCATTACTGGGAGTACATATGTATGTATACATTCGTAAATACATAGTATCTTTTCACATACCCTCACTTACTGATAGCTGCATTAAGTATTGTTGCCTTTGTGATTATTTTAGCCGCTCGGGAATAACAAAGCTAGAATGATGTGTCCTAGTTCGCATATCTGAAATAATGAATGAATGGCACTTCAGTATTGATGCTGTTGGCGAAGGAAGATAGGAAAATATGAATAATTGATAACATATTTACGAGTACGTGACAAAAACATAAGCATACTCGTAATAAGATTGCTGCAACTAGTTCCCGAAGTCTAAGATTGTCTACTTAAAAACGTCGTAAAACAAAAGCGATCTAAAAATGTCGAATAGAATCAAGTGCTGATAGCTGCGAGTATAGTGTTTACCATAACTATACGACACTCACATGTTGACAGGTTTTGGCTACTTTTTTATTATTTTTGAATTGTAATTATTTCCATACAAAATAATATAGTTTATTCTTTAACAAACACCGCATACATAAAATTTCAGTCATTGTGCAATATATAAAAAAGTCAACAAACTTTTTAATCAGACTTTTAGTTAGAAATACTTTGAATATGCACCCATTTAATTTTACAAAGTAAAACAGGTCAACCTTAAATTCACGCAAGCCGCCAATTTACTGTCGAAAATTTCACATGCACATACCACTTGTATGGGACCAACCGAAATTGAACAGAGTGCGTATGAATCCAAATCAAATTGGCACTAAAATTTCTACCAATACTCGCCACCTCAGTTCCATCGCAAAGACAATATTATTTAAAAGTTGTCAGTAATTACCAAATATCAATTTAAGAAATTTTTACAATTTATTTTTTTGGTGAAAATTTAAAAATTATTAATTTACTTTTCAAAAATATAGATTTTTAAAAACCCTCACTATCAACATTTTCATGCGGCATAACTGGAACAATTGTCAAAATTTTTGAAAACCCTTTAGTGTCTGATTTTTACCTAACCTGGATTTTACCTTAATATACACGGTACCCGACCCGAATCATGTTTTCTCTGCAACTGTATGATAAGCTATGCTTAGCTCTTATCGCAGCTTCAACCTGAAGGCAGCCAAGTAATTTTTTCGTCAATTCCCTAATAGATAACGAAAAGAACTTGGTAGACAAGTTTTTGGGAGTGTAGATAATAAACACTCTAACTTCTTTGTGTTACGGGGTGGTTGCTAGAGGACCATTTTTTGTGACCCAGAACGCATTCAAATTCAATTTAGATTTTAAATTTTATCTTAAGTAGAATATATGTAGCCTTTACTAGTGGCTGGCAATTCTACTAGTAATTACGAGTGGAAAAGTTGTAGTTTCAATTATACTACCAAAATTATTGCTATTCTTCTTCTTCACATACAGCTTTGGTTTTTTTTTTGAACTTACCACTGACTTTTGAGTGGCATTGAAAAATTTACAGAAACGCAGATATTAGGGGTAGCTTACTGAGAAGCTTACCAGTCACCTTAAATTTGGGCATATGTGTGAATTATCAGCCGTCGAGTTTTGGGTATGCTTACATTTTTTGGTGGTTCATTGCCATTGTTTATCGTAATTTGAATAGAAACTCCTCAGTTAAATTTTAAATATTTAGCTGTGGATAAATAAAGCTCATGCATGACATGCATGCATTTATTTTAGATTCATCCCTCGTTGCCCAGCTTAACTCTCTTGTTTTCATTACCTTAGAATAATGAAATGTAATATAAAGCACAATCAAAAGCACATAAAAAGGTAGCTCATTCATATCATACCATCGTACCACGTGTACATTAGGCAGGTCCAAAAGTGTATGTGAAAAAGTAAAGTCGGAATTTTTATTTTCTCACCCCCTAGGATTGTTCTATATTGAAAAAAATGTATCCCGGTTTTTTTATATTTAAATAAAAAAATATTTAGAAGTCGCTTTTATATGGGAAAACTCAGTTTTCGTAGAAATGGTATGGAATTCTTAAGAATCAATATTTTTCCATCGGGAAACTCTGTTTATGTGCCGGAGATTCCCAATAATAATACCCAATTGTTTATTTAATGACTTTTTATAGTAAATATAATTTATAGGTCCGTCAATTATTATTGAAAGTCTCCTGAGGAATGCCAGAATTTTCTAATTGAAAAGTATTGATTTTCAAGAATTCTATACCATTTCTAAGAAAAGCTGTTTTTCTCTATATAAAATACATTGAAAAATTTGAGCGCTTTGAGCGACCTCTTAATATTTTTTGATTTCAAAACAAAAAAAATAGGGGCATACCTTTTTCGATATAGAACAATCCTACCGGGTCAGAGCATTAAAATTCAGACTTTACTTTTTTTTGGGCCACCCTAGTTTACATACATACGTATCAATGCAGATTTTTATACTCGTATAAAGATGTACCGCCGCACAGCGAAAAACTTCCGCCATTGTCACCCCTTTTTCATTCTACCTAGAATTGATTGGATGTAGACGAAACGTCGTTTTTATGGTACGAATAATAAACTGAAATAATCTCTGGAATTAAATCAGCAATTGGGTATGATATTAATACGCTCAAAAAAATTGGTTAGTAGATAATCAAATTTAGTTTACGCAGTAAAATTAAAACTTGAATCTTAAAATACACACCACGGGTCAAAATTATAAGCGCTTTTGCTTTTAATATTAGTTATTTTCTTTGAAAAAAACATAGTTTATCTTTAACAAAAACCATATAAATCAAGTTTTTAACTTTCTGCAATACTTAAAAAAACAACAAACTTTCATAAAAATATCAAGCACCTCTCTGTATGGAATGGGCTAAAAAACCGCAGACTCAAAAACNCAACAAACTTTCAACAAATGTCAAGCACCTCTCTGTATGGAATGGGCTAAAAAACCGCAGACTCAAAAACTTTTTAAGAAATATATATTTATAAGGCTCGAAATTTTTCAAAATTTGTTTTTTATTCTTAAACATGGCACAATGTCTTAAACTGGGTATTATATGCTCTTTGTTAAAAATAAACTATATTTTTACAAAAAATTACTAACATTAAATAACAAGAAAATAAATTGTTAAAACAAGTTAATATGTGATGCGCTTATTATTTTGATGCGGGGTGTACTTGGGTGATTTATACATAAATGGAAAACGCACTCCAAAGAGCGCAATTAATTTTTTTGCTTAA